TAATGAATACCTAGAGACCAGTACGGCATCGGAGCTGGCCGTCCGATTAACTCAGTGTACTGATCAACGACGTTTAACGGCGAAGGTCCGGCGAAGAAATAGAAATCGAAAACTCCTCCGATGACTTTGTAAGTCAAAGAGTTACCTCTATAGAACACATCCATACCATTACTATTAAGAAGCAAAACGGCGTGTGCGTAAGCTTTACCTCCGACGTTTCTCAGATCCATATAAACCGGATGCGATCCGTACAGATCGGTGTTTAGATTAATCGCCGATACATCCTCCGTGTAAAGAGTGTACGGCTCGTTAGGTACGAGCTTGATTCCGTTGGCTTGTGAGTTTTCGCCTAATCCGTAAATCGAAGCTTCTTTTGGTAACGAAGTTGAGATCTCGAGGTATTGATCTTTGAATACGAGTTCTCCGAAAGCTTCGTTTGATGAAGAGCTTGTGTTGAAGAGTGTTTGGCCGTTGGATCTTCGTTTCACGGCGAAAGTGAATGGATCTGATGTGAAACTGAAAATAAGCTCCGATCCGGTGATTTCCGAGACTGTAATCGGAGATTTTCTCGATTTTCCGATGATTTTTCCAACCGGTGGTGGTTGTTCTCGAGGGAGGAGATTGTACGGAACTTCCCATCGTTGCTTCTTCGCGTCTGTGATGTGAACACGGAGACGATTATCTGTTTCGTGCCTGGTAAACAATAAAATCCAACGGTCAGAAAATCGTTTGGTAATGTAGGGTGCGAAGTAGAGGATTAGAAACTTACTTGACGAAGAGACGAAGTGTGGTGATATCTGAGCCGTAGATTTTGTTCTTTTGTTTGACTTGGAGATAGCCAATGAAACCACCATCTGGAGATTCTTCGATTGAGATCAAACGGTAGCCTTTGCCGATGGTGTTGGAGCACTGGATGGTTGAGAAACAGAGGATTATAGCTAGAATAAGAGAAAGAAATGAAAAAACTTTGGACATGGCCATTGTTGAAGGTGAGGAGTGGTACTCTCTACTACACTCACTCTACAGTAACAGTGAAGGAGACAAGTGAGAGAGAGAGGGAGGGTTTTAAAAGACCCTCTGCTTTAGCTTAAAGGTTCTTTGATAAGTTTGTGAAACACTTAACGAGGAGGATATGTATAAATAGTACAAAACCCGATATTATTTTTATCGGTCCAAGCGTCTAAACCGATTATACCCATATATAATACATATACACAAATATATCAGTTTTTTTTTTATAAAGGAAAAATTATATGTAAAAGTTTATAATTAAAAAAAATTTAGCATATGAAAGAGAACTATAGCAAACATGGAAATTTTGTTTTAATGATAGTAATTATTTATGTTTTGTGATGTTAATTTTTTTTTTAATATTATTTAAACTCAATTAAGTATAATAATTATCCAGTATCTTTTTTTTTCTTTTCTCCGATGTAATAATATATTTTTCGTATTTTCCTCGATTACTTTAGATTATTATTTTTTATCGTCTTCGTCTTCTTTGTCTTATTCCAATATATAATTTTTTTTCTTTTTTTTTAATATCTTTTTCAGTTTCTTCTTTATTCTCATTTGTTTTTCTTGGGTTAATTTACCCAATAGACCAAAAAAATTATAATTGTTTATAGTTAAAACTACCTTATGTGGCACAATCACAACATTTAGATTTAGAATTTTTTTGCTATATGTTTAATTATTAATTTTTTTTGGTTATTAGGAAAATTAGCCCTTGTTTTTATACTTAACTTTATGTTCTTTATAGGATTGTTACTAAAAGTTGTAGAGTTTTTTTTTTCTTTGCAGGTTCCTCATTCTTCTTCGATTTCTTTTTTTGAGTCTCTCGTCATAATCGTCTCTTATTTTTTCTTTCTATTTTCGTTAGTTATTTTTATCATCTGTGTATACGTTTTTTAATACTTACT